ACAGTACAAGTAGGGCAAGTATATTGTGAGCCTTGGAATCCTCGATCCACAAACCGTGGTCGGGCCGAACCATCTGTTTGCAGTGTAACAGGGATTATTGCTTGAACAACCCATTTTTATTAGAATGCATAAATCCAAGCGTCTAAAAAGCAGCCTATCGGACCGACGCATTGGATGAGAACCCCAATAATAATACACAGTCAAAAAAAAAAAAAGGAAGTAAGAATACCTAAGAAAAACCAAAATCTCAGTTCACAATGGAAAAAAGGCAAAATGGTCCCGATTTGGAAATCGTAACGTACAATACGGCGGTAGACTCGGCTCACCCCCGACGACCCCAAAACAGCCACTTCCACGATTGCCACCTCTCTGACGACCTTCTTTTTTATTTTATTTCTTCTTTTCCCTCGGCCACGGTTCAGACCGCTAGATCTGTCAAAGAACCAAAAAGAGCAACTCCAGACGGTCCACCCAAATCCAGGAACCGCCAAAAAACCCATGGGATCCAAATCCTCCAACCCGACGGTTCAAAGGTTCTGGGATTCGTCATAACGTACGCCGTACGCCGATCCCGGTTCCTGGGGGGCCTTCCTTTTTACTCTCAGCCCCTGACAGTGACGATCGGGACTGCGTGCAATCAGCCCGGACGGGAGCGGGCTTGGGTGGACAAGAGGGGCCTGTACTCCGTACAAGGGTCACCCCAACACGTTTTCTTCTTATGTATTCTTACTTTCCGCATTCTTGTCCCGGTTCTTGTGGTTGGAGGCGCTTTGAGTTTTTCGTTTTTTCTTTCCTTCTGTCGATTCCAAGGTTTTTGACTTTTGAGCAAATTATGTACTCGTGACTATGTATTCGTTCTAGATTAGAAAATATGACAAGGAAACTGCGCTTACTATTGGACGCTATATGTCTTTGACTCTTATGGCCGACACGGGAGTATACAAGTGGGACCCCCTATTGTTATAGTAGGCTCCTCGTGTTAGGGGGGTGTGGGCTGTGCCCCCCCCTTCATCTGGAGTCAGATTAAGCATATCTTTGTTCCAACCCTTTTTTTTGTTTTTCTCCGTGGCATCCATGTTCAGTGTCCACCACCGCCGGTGGGGTCTCAGGGGTGGGTGGTGGAGCTTACAGGATTCTCCCCGGGGATCCCAGCGCAGGGCACGTTGTACAAGGTACTTGGCCGTGGGGGAAGGTGGTTGCTGGGTTTCCCGTACTTTCGGGATTGGGTTAGGTTTCAAATATATAACCTCGTGTCCGGGCTTGCTCTGGGGGTCTATGCATTGATTGGCTTGGTCGGTGCTTTCTCATAGGGCAAGTGGTGTAGATTATCCCGTCATAGAGAGGTACTGTGTACAAAGTGTATTCGAGAGATCAGCAATTTGCATGGTTATTCTGCAGCGTATATTTTCTGCATGCTTGGCCTTGAATACGAAGGACTATTATCTATGGTGGGATATGACGTGCTATAGGCCTGGACTAACCCTAATGCAGCTGTATCGTTATATCATGAGTGCCGTTATTCTGCAACCCCTCGGTTAAATCGTATACATAGACGATATAAAATCTGCAGTCGCTCTCATCCCCAGAATGTCATATGGATGTCATATAGTCAACCTTATCCAGACATTTGGAACTGGTGGAGCAGTGAGTTTGCTCCATTTGCTCCGTCACATAGTCTAACTCACGCCAGGAGGGGCACTGGGGCTCCATATCATTCTGTCGGATCGATCCATATTTATGGAGCCAGATCTATGTTATTGTTTCTGACATGCAGGTGGCGAATGCAGACATTCTTGACGGTGGATTCATCTAGGGCCATCACTACTGTTTACAGATAGAAGTCTCTGCACGAAGACGGAGATATTTTCCCCTTCCGTACATTGGGTCGAGAGTTCTGCTCTTTGGTTGGTGGTAGTAGTACCGTCTGCTCGTACTAGAAGATTGAACATATCAAACAAGACGCACCGAAAAATACTTTGGAAATGTAATGACGTGCCCCACGAGGCTATAATATTAAGTTATGTACCAACATATATCAAATCTTATCTCAAACTAATACATTGACTGCTCCACAAACCGGAGATCTAGATAGGTTTATCTGCATCATCCGTCTTGGAAAATGCAGCTGCCTCAGTCTCTCGAGACTCAGGCTCAATGCCCTCGCTAACGTACGGCTCCTGCTGAATCGCATGGATAGCATGCTCGACATTGACTACAGGACCCGTGAACCAGCGATGGGCATCAACAAACCACCAAATCGTAACCGCCAGCATCGGCGCACCCCAAACAAGACAAGTCCAGTTCATCATATCAGGCGTCAGGTCTTTGCCAGTAACACTAGGCAAACACAAGATCGGGACCATCAAAAGCACAAACAAAACACCAACGCCACCGATATACGGGCCAAAGGGACCCAGATGCCAGGGGCCCCGACGGAACCGATTACCGACAAAGAACACGCGAATCGTGATGGGAATGGCGAAAGCAAAGAACTGCGCAATAGCACCAATGGAGAACAAAGCCCCAATCGCCACGTCTCCAGCCAGAATAAGAAGACACATCAAGATGCCGAGGACGGCATTCAGCACGACCGCATTGACCGGCGTCTGCGTAACCGGATGCACCTGCTTCCAGTAATTCGAGAACGGGAAGCAGTCGTCACGGGCATAGGCATACGTAACCCGCGACGCGGCAACCATACACCCCTGGCCCATGGAGAACCCACAGATAATCGTCAAGGCCAGGATAGCCATCGCCGTCTTCTGCGGCATGACCTGCAGCAGATACGACGCCCAGGGCTGTCCCAGGTCGGAATCCATAACGGCCTCGATGTCCAGCACCGTGTATGCAACCACCAGCTGTAGGAACCAGCCCATCAGCCCGCCCACGCCGGAGGTGAGCACGATCGCGCGCGGCGAGGCGATGTTCGCGTTCGAGCACTCCTCGCTCAGGTGGAATGGCGAGTCGTAGCCCGACATCGTCCAGATCACGCCGACAAAGGTCATGAGGACGGCGACTCCGTCTGGGAAGTCGGTTAGGTTGGTTATGTCGCCCCAGACTTGTTTGGAGGGTGTGAATTTCGGGCTGTTTTTTGTGCCGGCGGGGATCATGATGATGACTGCGACCAGGGCGATGAAATTGAATGTCGAGCCCCATGAGTTGAACTGCGCTACGTGCTTCGTGGACATGCTGCTGATGCCGGCGTGCAGGATCATTATGAGGGTCGTCAGCAGGAAGTTGTGCCAATTTGTCGGGGTGTATTCTGGGTTGTTGATCGAAGCTGCTGCGAGGATCATTGCGCTCAGCGAGTAGTTGACCGATGGCGCTGCGGTGATCTGTCCGATCCAGTTGGACCAGCCGGTGATCCAGGCGGCGAAGGGTCCGTAGCCCGGAGGTGCGAGGACTGCTGCGGCGTAGTATAGTCCGCCGCTGTATAGACGTTAGCCTTCTGAACCCTAACTTTCCTTGGATGTGATATCGAGCAGTGTATCATACCTAGTCGGCATTGCCGAACATAGCTCTGCCATCGACATTGCTATGCACTGGATAAATATCATCGCAATGATCCAACCCCAGACCATACCCGCTGTTCCGGCATATCCCATTCCTTTAATCCAGTGTCAGCTATACCTTGAACCCAATCTTCAAAGCGCAGATCTGTGAGTACTCACCATACCACAGGGTACTCGCAAATGACGGTAGCAACCCCAGAACAGCAAAGCTGACGCAGAAAGTCGTCCATAGCGAGAACTCGCGCTTGAACTCTTGCTTGTAACCAAGCGCCATGATCACCCTCTCATCGGCATCCATCTCATGATCCGTGTATGGCACATCGCCATCCGGGAGAATGGAAGTGACTTGATCTTTGTTGACCTCATGATGTCCTTTGGATATGTCCGACGAGGCAGTGGCCGTTTTGGTCTCCATGTTTGCGCCCATGACCAATATAAATAGGTATGGCGCTCTTAATGTGTGCGATATATATATCAACGAAATAAAATGACAACCATACAGGGGGGAAACAGGAATGTCTTCACTTTAAACCACAGCCGAGGGAAGTCGGAGCATAATAAAATAGCACAGACTAATGGTTTTTGAGCAAGTCGACAGGGGTCAGCCATGTTATCTATAGCACGGAGCATTTTGCGTTTCGCCCCGCATCAAGACATGGGAAGCAGCTCTCTACGCAATAGTACACCTTACAACGAGGTGAGATAAGAGTCAATGACATATGGATTGATGTGGATAAATTAAAAAAGATAGAATGAACTGCACAATAAAGAGGTATTTTATTCGAACACGCGATGGCCTCACTGTGCAGGCTTGTGATTTGTAGGGACGGGAGATACCACCGCTGATTCGAGGCACAGGGCTTTGACGATCGGTGCTACGAGCTTGGTAGAGAGAAGTCTAGTCCCAGCAAGGAAGTTCCAGGCGTTATACTTCACGGGACTTCTGCCGTGAGACAGCGTTAGCGCATCAGATCTGCTTATCAACCTAATGACAGAGATAAGGGCTTGACTCGCCAGGCGTCCACGGGTGTCGGCTGTGCTGATTGGGGATCTGTTCGGCGTTCTGAAACCTCCAGGACTGCCATTATAATTTGAGGCTTGTTATCTAAGGTTGGACTTACCTTGTTGGGGAAAAAGGGCTATGCATTGAATGCCGGAGAACCCTTGTTTGTGGTATGTATATGTCATGAATACATGCATATCTACCTAGTCCCAACGACAGCGCTATCTATAGTAAGCTCGGAAACTATTCCATGGAACATTCGGATGTCCGACGTATATACTCCGTGAGAGTCCGTGTTCCCGAGAGCTCTAGGTTTTTCAGCCCTATGAAGGTGACCATATTTACTTTGAAACAACGGTTTCTATGTGGTATTAAAAACAAAATACTTTCATCGCTATTCTACACAGTACAGCCCCGGCCTGTCCCTCAAAAGCTCTGATTCATATCTATCGAAGGAGAGACAGGTATATACCCTCGCGAATGATTCAGAAGGCCTAAGAAAGTCAGCATCATATCCAACCCTCCAAATCAACCGTAATTGACTCACATTGTCCTCAGGGGCGATGGTGCGGTCGTAGTAGTTATCGAGGAAAGGAAGCTTGCGGAGAATGTCGTTGCGCACACGGGGAACCTCGCCGAAGATGAAGAGGGCACCGGAACCAAGGGCGACACCGAAGCCAGCAGCGACAGTACCACTGTTGAGAACGTTATTAGCCCCTGTATCCTATCCAAACTGGATAGTCGAATGCGGGATGTACTCACTACTGGACGGCTGTGCCAAGGGTCATACCCGCGACGGTGCGGGGGATGTAGTACCTGCAGATTAGTGAGGCGTTAGCTTGGTGTTCTGCTTGCTTGATTGATCGGTCTTCTTCGATATCCAGCTCTTTTGTCAAAGCCCATGGTCTGCTCCCCACGGATGCCGGACATCCGTCAAGCTCCGCTGCAAGAGGAGAAAGACGGGAATCCAATCAACGAGAAAAGCTGTGTTGGCAAGTACAAGGCCATATTTTATTTGCTCCATCCAACGTGCTGATTGCCGACCAACGTGTACTGTCCGGGGTTCGAATAAGAAGGGTATGGGGGAGTCTCACTTGGGCGCATAGGCGGAGGCCTGGGCGGAGACCTGGGCGGCGGCGCGACGAGCAGTAGGGGCGAACTAGAGGATATATGTTAGCAATTGACGTGACATTTTCTATCTCGTTTTATCCCGCGGCTCGGAAGCCGGTTGTGATACTCATGGCCTTGTCCTTTAGCCGGAGCGCGACCAAGTAGGCAAGGAACCCCGGAATAGAATACGGGGATTTCTCATCCATCGGGTATGAAAGCACTTACCATTTTAGAATACACCGGAGTGATTTGGTGGGACAATTGCTAGGAGACAAGAGCTGGCACTTGGTGGTCGACGAAAACCGGGAGTGCCCGAGTTTACACGTGACTCCAAAGCCAGTGGCCAATCAGAGGAGGCGTAATTGTTTTCGCTCAAGTATGAGGCCGAGTCAATGGATTAGTTTTATTAAGGAGAGTCCAAATTTTAGTCTTACATCCTGTTTTTTATGCTCAGGATGGAAAATATACTACCACACCAGATATAGATGGCAAAAGAAGTGGCACCTGACGTAAAAAGAACAAATTGTAGATATTAATGCGTTAATTGACTTAGCACTAGGAAGCCTTGCGGCTCCCAAGAAGCTAATACGCCTAGGCCCCAAAAATTCGCGTGATAGCTGAAATAAATGGAATAAAAAGATATGTGCTTCAAAACCCCTTGATCTGACATGCAAGGGATTCAACTAAGACAGGATTGATCGAACAGGCGCACGAAAGGAAAGCAGCAATCAAATACAGTGGAAACAAAAGATTATAAGAACCACGTAGCCAAACACCCTAACTGTACATTTGTCTCATTAGTCGACTTTGTCGGTCGAGCCTCCATTCAGGAACCCCTCTTTGCCATCCAGGTGGAAGAAGCCACCGTTGTTGGTGGCGGTGTTGCCAATAATACCGCCGCGAGCAGCACTACGTCTCAGACGTCCACGTCCGAATATGGTAGCCACAGCAACCACGGCACCCAAGATGATGAAGAAGAGGATGGGATGACTGCCGAGGAGGGATCGAGCAAAGAAAAAGATACTCTCAAAAGTGCCGATGGTAGATTTGGGTGACAACTTCGAAGGGGAAGCGATGACGAGAGGAATAGTCTCGAGAATAGAGGTCCGTGAGGCCATAATAGGAGCTCCACTTGAAGCAGTATCCCAGTAGCGGCGGTTCTATAGGAAGTCAGGTATAGTGCTTAAACAAATCTCACGAGGGAAGACTTACATCTTGATCATTGATAATAACGCGGTCACTGGTTTCCACATCGATACCGTAGGTTGTGCGCAACCAGCGTTCCCAAAAGTCGCCGTCGACCCAAGCAAATGCGACTTGCTTCTTATCGTCCTCGCGGATCGTAATACGCATGTTTTTCGCAGCCCGTAGTGCACGCTGATCATTGCGGTCGTCGGCTTCTTCGATGCGCAGTTGCTTGGAATCACGAAGTTCAGCCCGCTCAAGGCGGAAGAGTTGAACCTGCTTGTCCATCCATTCAAGAGCGGCTTCCTTCAGTTCGCGCTTGGATTGCTTAAAGTCATCGCTTCGGCGGCGGCTGAGGAGTCCGAGAACCACGAACTTTCCGTCCATGATTTCTTGGGCGTTGGATGCGGTGAGCTCAGGTACGATGGGCAGCCACACAGTCTGCATCCACGACAAGATTTGACGGAAATCTCTCATGTCCTTAGGAGCAAGGGCATTATAGTAGTTGGGACGTCCGTCACGGACGACTAGAAGACGAGGCCAGGTAGAGATCTTGAACCGCTCGGAAAGAGGAGCACTGTCAGACTTGACAATGCGAGCGTGTCCCACAAGACTAAGGGTGAGGCGGTTCATGGCCTCGAAATCTTCAGATGTGGTCGCGTGGTCGTAGAGATACAGGAACAGAACCTCTTCGGTTTCTTCCAACTTCTTAAAAGTAGTCGAATCAACATCCTGAATGCTCGAGCCCACACCGACGGCTTTGTTGGTGTATGCGATCAGATCACCCAAGCCACGAAGACCGGTATATTCAACTCTCTCGCCGCCACGGAAGAAGTAGATCGTCGGGTAGGCATTCACGCGAGCATCTTCGCACAGTCGCTTCTCAAGATCGCAGTTCACTTCGCCAACATTGAGAGTATCCTTCATCTCCTTGGCCATCGAGTTCCAGTTCGGGGCCAGAGCTTGGCAATGATGGCACCAAGGAACGTAAAACTTGATGATCCATGGATCGTGGGTAGTCGTAACAAGACTTTGGAAACTCTCCGCAGTGAGTGGGATAGAAACGCCCTGGGGGTTAGCAGGCCGTCCTTGGAGCTTGGCCTTGACAGACTCAGCGCTAACGCCTTCCAATTCCGCGGTCTCGATGCTCTGCTTCTCGACAGCTGTTTTAGCGCCAGGCTTTACCACTGCAGGTTTAGCGGTCATTTCCATGCTCTCAGCGCCGGCCTTTGGGATTTGGATGCCTTGCGAAGGTCGGGTCCCAGGCTTGATTGTCTCGAGTTTGGCTTCAATCATAGCGGCAATATCTGACATCGTCTTGGCACGCGCGGGGGGTTCGTTCTGAACGCCCATATCATAGAACGCCCACGCGGGGTAAAATTCGACGTTCAGCTTCTTGCAGAAATCGCCGAAGGCCTGGCAGTTTATGGACCCGAAATGGAGATTATAGTAGCCAGTGAATGAGTCCAGAGACGCGAGCTCATCGGGTTTCAATCCGGAGAGGAATAAAGGATTTGATGTCTATCACTAATCAGATCCAAGGCTCAAATGTTGAAATAAGGGGATAGATTCTCACGTAGTAGTACTCATACAGGGTCTGGTACAATGGGGCGGCGATCCGGCAATGCGGGCAAGAGGGGGAATAATGTTTGATCATCCTAGAATAGTTAGAGCCTTGAGCGGTTTATTGATTGCTGCAGAAGGGATTCTCACCAGTAACCATCTTTGGTCACTTCCTCGAAATTCTCCGGGGTCAGCTCGGTCAACGGGGGCACTTCAATACCATTGAATATTGTGGGTTTGTCGGTATCCACTCCACGAGACGCCCTTTTGACAAGTGTATTTCCAGATTGTTGGTCGGAAGCATCTGAAGGCGTACCCAAAGCAGGCGCTACCAACAGTGAGAGGAGGGACCACCCCAGCCAAGACGGTTTCATTTTGGTAAAAGAAAAAGGCGAATAACTTGGATAGCAGTTTAAAGGAGAGTATAAGTAGTTTCAAGATGTCAAAGCTGAGCAAAACGAAGGACTCTGGTCGAAGTAGGGAGGATAATCGCGAAATGTTACAGGTGGCACATTGGACGGGGGCGAAGACTGGCGACTCGGGTGGGCACTGGTCACGTCGCAGGAAGAAGCAGCACTTAGCGACTATAGCGCCCGTAGCTGAGAGCAAAATAGAACTGCACACAGTCCAAACAAAGAACCAGATGTGAGGCTTTGATGGTATTCGGCAAAGGTAAGTTGTTGCGTTTCCCCCTGCCGTTTCACTATGGAACATAAAGTTAATCCGCTCCGGGCCGACTTCACCACTTCATCTCCCTGGAACAGAGCGACTTCAATATCACCAAATCCATTCACAATGCGCTCCACACTCCGGCTACTGGCCAATGTCAAGCCCCGGTATTTGGAGCCTTTTGCTCCTACCGGATTGACGGGCCTTTTCACCCACCCCAGCCCTCGCCCTACTTTAATCTACCTTTACTCGACTACTCTGCAGAAGTTGCAGGCGTTCCCCGAATCCTCCGCCTACCGCCAATCCGTTGAGGCTTTGACCCGACACCGCCTCCAAGTCATTGAGTCGCAAAAGCCCGCCGGATTCGATGCATGGTTGGAGCGTGTGCGGAAAACCGTGGCAGCCGAACCTGAGCGGTTTGCTAAGGTCCAGCACTCCGACGGCACCTACACCCATGCCGCTGCCCAACAGAAGGATGGATCCGACAATGCTCGCGGTGAAGAATGGGATGGCGAAGCCCTCTCAGCTACAACCGAGGGTCCCGCCCGTACCCCGCAACAAGAAGGAGAATGGCTTGAAATCATGAATGAGGCTAGCGAGACCACCGACAAGGCCGATCATGACTTCCACCACGAACATATCAAATGGGAGAGCGAGCCTGCGCTTGATGTCGACCAGTATGTGTACCTAGCTTTCCGAATTGACCTCGAACAATCGCGAATCTAACGCTAATCTATTGCGCAGGATCTCTCACATCGAACAGCAGATCGGCGCCGGCCTTATTGAGGAGATCATCCAGGTCGCAGAGACAGAGCTCAAGCTTGTGGATCAGTTGGCCGAGGCCAAGGTGTAAGTGGAAATTTGAAGATTGTGGTTTAGACTTCTTGCTGACACTTTTACAGGTGGGAGGAACTTGAGGAAAAGCCCCAACCCGGCCAGTGGTCCTACTTCGAGCGTGGTCACTAAACAGCAAATCTGGAATGGCTATGAATTTTAATCTCTGTAACTACTACTAGAGGTCTCTTTGTTTGAATACATGTTTTGAGAGTTCAAACATTTGAAATTTTAGAGTGAGTCGTAGAGCTACCAAGCTATGATTCGCATATTCGACGAATGAAGGTATACCAGCAATTTCTATCGGACATGTTGATCTAATTGAGACATGTCTATAGCCTAGTATATAGGCAATTGGTCTTTCAGTTTCAATTTTATACATCTGGGTGATGATTATGTACAGCGAAGTATATCGAAAGTATTTGAGCTATTGCTATTTTGTCCAGATCCATACTTGGAATATAAGCTTACATTTCACCAATCTCACATAGCAATCCGTATAGCTTTCTTCAATGCAAATGAATTTGTAGGACATTTGTATAGCGGATAGACCGACTAGAAGGCGGTGAGCCAAGGCGGGAATCCCTTGTGGACACATACATTGCTGTCCCTGAATGAAGCGCACTCCCTCAAGCTCTCCTTCATCTCAATCCTTTCTTAATTCCTCCAATTAATAACTTGCCCCGAGGATCGCTCCTCCCTATCATTGGGCTGTTTGAGCGGCTCGCGAAATCTCCTATCGCTGTCACAGGCCCAACACCGCATCACACAAACACTCGTCTCATCCCCCACACAACATGCGGCTCGACATCAAGGTACGCACGATAAAACGTTTCATATAGTTGCAAATCTGCTCTTAGCACATACAGTGATATGATTTCGCAGGTGAACGTCCACAATTGGAGGGATTGCTGACGATAAATGTTACAGAGGCAGCTGTTTGCCCGCTCCGAGCGGGTAAAGGGGATTGATTTCCACCCTACAGAGCCGTGGGTAAGCTTTTTCAATTCACTCAGTAGCTTCGCTCAAACTAATTTGATTCTTAGATCTTGACGACCTTGTATAGTGGTATGTTGAGGGAGGGGCAGTATGCGAGACGTACAATGCGCTAATTACTTTCCTGTATAGGCCATGTCTACATCTGGTCTTATGAATCGCAGGTAAGGCCTGACACAGATTTACACTCCCTATACTCTCGTCTAACATGTCTACCCTGTAGTCTATCATCAAAACCTTCGAACTCACCGATGTCCCCGTCCGTGCCGGTCGATTTATTGCGCGGAAGAACTGGATTGTCTGCGGTTCAGATGACTTCCAGCTCCGGGTCTACAACTACAACACATCCGAAAAAATCACCTCCTTTGAAGCACACCCGGATTATATCCGTTCTATTGCCGTTCATCCTACCCAGCCGTTTGTGCTCACAGCCTCCGATGACATGACAATTAAGCTTTGGGACTGGGAGAAGGGTTGGAAATGCGTGCAAGTGTTCGAGGGCCACAGCCACTATGTTATGGGCATGGCAATCAACCCAAAGGATACCAACACTTTCGCCTCCGCATGTTTGGACCGGACCGTGAAGATCTGGAACCTCGGCTCTCCCCATGCCAACTTCACACTCGAGGCTCACGAGACAAAAGGTGTGAACCATGTCGACTACTATCCACAGGCTGATAAGCCATACCTCCTCACCACCTCCGACGACAAGACCGTTAAGATTTGGGACTACACCACGAAGGCACTCATTGCAACCCTCGAAGGCCACACAAGCAATGTCTCGTTTGCTTGCTATCACCCCGAACTCCCTGTGATAATCTCAGGTTCCGAAGATGGAACCATTAAGATTTGGCATGCAAATACCTACCGACTGGAGCAGTCATTAAGCTATGGCCTAGAACGAGCATGGTGTGTTTCCTACCAGCGGGGTAGACAGGGAATTGCGATGGGTTTCGACGATGGTGCTGTCGTGGTGAAGATGGGTCGGGAAGAGCCCGCCGTCTCAATGGATGGGTCCGGTAAGCTTATCTGGGCAAGACACAGTGAGGTCGTGTCGTCAGTGATCAAGGGTGGCGATGCTAGTGTCAAAGACGGCGAACCCCTTTCTCTACCAACAAAGGATTTGGGACAGTGCGAGGTGTACCCGCAAACCCTGTCGCACTCTCCCAACGGACGTTTTGTTTCTGTCTGTGGTGATGGAGAATACATCATCTACACCGCATTGGCATGGAGAAACAAGGCCTTTGGGCAAGCTCTCGATTTTGCCTGGGGTGCGAAAGACAACAGTAACGATTACGCTATCCGCGAGTCATCGACAAGTGTGAAGATTTTCAAGAACTTCAAGGAGCAGAGCGCCGGCCTTGATGTTGGGTTCCAAGCCGAGGGCCTCTCTGATGGTGTCCTTCTGGGTGTGAAGGGTCAGGGTGGCATTGGCTTCTTTGACTGGGAGACTGGCAGCCTGGTTCGGCGAATTGAAGCTGACCCAAAATCCGTAAGTTTGCTCTACCTTGATATTTGGAAATTATGCTAATGGACACGTACAGGTCTACTGGTCCGAATCTGGTGAATTGGTTACCCTCGCCTGTGAAGATGATTTCTACGTTCTCCGCTATTCTCGCGAGGATTATATCAACGGTCTGAACGCCGGTGAAGCCGACGAGGATGGAGTTGAGGCGGCTGTTGAGTTGGTTGCTACAATTAACGAGACCGTCCGAACTGGACAGTGGGTTGGAGATTGCTTCATCTACACCAACTCCACGAACCGCCTGAACTACCTTGTCGGTGACCAGACCTACACAATCTCTCACTTCGACCAACCGATGTATATTCTTGGCTACCTGCCCAGGGATGGCCGTATTTACCTTGCCGACAAGGACGTCAACGCCGTCTCCTTTAGCCTTTCGCTCAGTATGCTTGAATATCAAACAGTGGTGCTACGCGGTGATATGGAAATGGCATCTGAGCTCCTCAAGGATGTGCCCCAAGACCAGATGAACAAGGTCGCCCGCTTCCTTGAAGGCCAAGGATATAAGGAAATGGCCCTGGAAGTCGCTACGGACCCCGAGCACCGCTTCGAGCTCGCCCTTGCGTTGAACGATCTTGAAACCGCACTCACGATTGCCCGCGAGGCCAATGTTGAGCACAAGTGGAAGATTGTCGGTGATGCTGCCCTGGCCGGCTGGAATCTTGCTCTTGCCCAAGAATGCTTCACCAATGCCAAGGATGTCGGTTCTTTGCTGCTGTTGCACACCGCTAGCAACAACCGCGAAGGACTCAAGGCCCTGGCCGCTCAGGCCTCGGAGTCAGGCCTCCACAATGTCGCCTTCTCTACTTTGTGGTCTCTGGGCGATATTGATGGCTGCATCGCTCTCCTCATCCAAACCAACCGCATCGCTGAGGCAGTCCTTCTCGCCCAGACCTACAAGCCTTCAAGCGCCCCTAAACTCGTTGTCCAATGGAAGGAGTCCCTAGAGAAATCTGGCAAGACAAAGGTTGCCCGCCTTATCGGTGTCCCGCCCGGTGCCCCCGATGTCGCCTCTACCGATGACGATCTCTTCCCTGAGTGGGATGAGTACATTCGCCTAGAGAAAGAGGGTAATGTCCCCGAGCCCCCTTCCTCAGAGTCCTTGATTGATATCAACGGCGATGAAGAAGAAGAAGAGGCAGAAGCAGAGCCCGTGAGTGCGACCAATGGTGCACTCGAAGCGGATGAGGAGGTAGAGAAAGCCGACAAGGCTGCAGTAGATGAGGCCGATGCTGCCGAAGCCGAGTGAACGAACAAAAAGCACCGGGTTCTGTTTGGTGACTTTTCAGGAGAGTTAGGTTGATCGTTTGTTTTCTGGCTGACCAGTCAGTTCATTCTTGATTGCGAGCG